TATCTAGCGTGGTTAAGTGTTTTAAGCGACATGAACTACCATCCCATCAAGGCAGGTTCATCACAGCAGTGAGTGGAAAAGTGAACAGATCATTTGCCCCGGCTGCTCTGGGCATCAGCAGGAAGCCACCCCTCTGTGCTACTGTGTGTAAATGCAGATCTGATCACAACGTGTGTGTCCGCCACTCACAGAAAGTGATCTGTCCTTGTAGTTTCCAGACATACACATTATTTGTAATTCCAAACAACCCCTTGCCAAATGAAAAGGCAGATTAGTTTTGCGCTCCTAATATAATATTGTGAAGCAGTGTTCTTCAAAATATTGATTGCCAAAGAGCATTTGAGTCCATAATAATCTTCTTCCAACAATTCTTTGAATTAGGCTATGTTTTGCAAATGAGGAAATCAAAGTTTAGGTTGTTCAGGTAGCATACACAAGGTCGCTTAGAAACACTAAGTTTTCATATATGTAAGCTGTGAGGTCAGTGATAGACATGTGAAATTAATACATAGTTGTTTCATGATTTTCTCAAAAATATGTATTTAAGATTTCAACAGCTAGTTATTTTTGAGTTGCATACAATGTAGAAAATATAAAAACATGTTTGCTTTCAACTTTTGTTTAATAAGGTGATGGTGGTCAAAAATAATCATTTCTGTTGGCAAAGAAATATCCTGGTGTTCATTCCCTAGTATTGAAAAAAACTGGTGTAAACAAATATTAATCTGTAACAATAGCTGCAGACCTTATTCTAGCTATGATTTTTTTTCACATAAACCAGACTCCAGACTGTACTGTGGCATTCACTTGAAGGGGATTTTGTTGTTTTTGTTCTTTCTTTATTCTGTTATGTTCTTAAAGTTCATTTGTATTAGGGACTGTACACATGATTTTCCAAGATTTCCTTTCTTTATCTTTACTTTTGTTCTCTGTCTCTCTTTCTCTCTCTATTTGTGGTGACAATCTTAATTTGTATATAAGAGTAAAAATGTGGAAAAATATGCATAGCAAAGCACACAAATGTAAATGAAAGTAAATAGATACTTCTCAAGGAAAGACAGAAAATGTGTTTTGCTGCGTCACACAAAGCTTTCTAGGTATTATGCTGATTTATTTCCTCATGAACGAATGCTTGTATTATGAATATGTTTCTGTGTGTATACACACACACACACACACACACACACACACATATATATATATATTATATATATATATATATTCTACATCTAAGTATTCTTCACAGAGGCTGTTTTAATTTGTGTGAATCTGCTGGCCTTGTTTTAATCAAGAACTTTCTTTGGGCTATTACGTTGATGCTTCCTCTGATCTTTATTAATCATTTACCTGTAATCTCAGCATCAAATTCTCTAAAGTCAGCCACCTCTAAAAAACCCTAATATCATGTGGGGCTTTGGGCAGACCTCTAGACACAAACCCTAACAGCCATTAAGTAGCCAAGAATCACATACTCACTTTTTTTTTTTTTTTTGTATCAGGGATTGAACTCATGACTTCGTGCTTGCCAGGCAGACGCTTATGCCACTGAGCTAAATACCCTGCCCTACACACTTACATTTTTATGTTACATTGGTGACTATGACAGTATATGTCTGAATATTTTTATTATCAGACCTGCCTTCCTTAGAGGAAGCATTCCTGTTGATTCTGTGGTCCTACCTCTTTCCCCTGTGGTCATTGTTGATTCCTTGTGTCAACTTGAGAAGTTTAGAAGTTTAACTAAGAGACTCGGCAGTGAGCCAGGATCCCTACTTTGTAAATATCCTCATCCTGTGCAAGAGGAGGGCACAGGGATTTTGTGAGTGCTGCATCTGCCCTGGGGCCAGTGGGTGGCCTGCATACAATGTAAGGGAGGAGAAGAGACTTGGGTCCCCCTGCCCCAGTTTTGCTCTGGCTGTTTTTGCTGGCTGTTGCCTTGAAGTGTTCCCCCAGTGCATGCCACCCTGCCTTGAAGGCAGCTGATTATGGACTGAAACCTCCACAAACAGTGAACTAAATAAACTTTTCCTTTTTTCATTTTGACTGTTGGGTATTTTGTCCAAGTAATGAGAGAAAAGTAACCAAGACACCTATCCTGAGCATGGATGAGCACACGGAGAAGGCTGCCTGGTGAGTGTAACCACTCTGTCCCTTTTTTGTTCTGTGAACTGTTGCTGGAGAAGGCAAGCACAGTGACAGCACCTATGAGAAGCAGCATACATGCCTGGAAGCAGAGCAGGGAGTGAAGCTGCCGGCATCTCTGATACGGTCGCTGTCTCTGTGAACAAACCACACGAGGCCAGGCCTTAGGTTCCATAGGTGCTCCACAGCTTAAGGATTTTGTTCATTGTAAGGGATGTGTTGTAGAACAGAAGTAATACTTTTGCTAGAACTAAAATTACAGCACCATAAATATAATCATTTTATATTCAGTGGACAAATGTTAGTTGTCAGTTAAGTGAAATCTCAGGTTCATTAATGTAGTCATTAAATACATTTTGATGAGTAGCTCATATATTCTAGGCATCATCTAAGGGTCTGGTATACAACAATAAACAAAATGGACAAATATATTCATCCTTATGAAGCTTGCACTCCAGTGAAGGAGATGGGCTGTAAATGACAAAATAAGTGAAGGATGTGAGTGATATTTTCTGATGGAAAAGTTAGTATAAGGGAGAAGACAGGAAAAGCAGGTGAGATTTGCAATGTCTCATGTCTATCAACTATGTATTAATTTCACATGTCTATCACTGACCTCACAGGACAATTTTTTTCTTTGGAAAAATTACACAGAAGAGCGGAGAGTGAGCCCAGAGGACAGCCAGGGACAGAGAACTAAATGACGGAGGAACACAAAGCGGGGAGGACTGTAGGGGATACAAACCTAGCAGGCAGAGAAAACAGCCCAAGGAGGAACTGAGATCTGCATGAGGAAGGCAGCGGATCCAGACAGCAGAGGAAACAGTGGACAGGGTTTGTATAGCGGTTTCCAGTTCTCTTAATGAAAAGGGACAACTCATTGGTTGCAAGGGACAAGAGTTTATGCACAGACTGGGATCATGGCTGCATCCTCAGAGGTGACATGTGCTGTTTCTTGCTCATATATATTGGCAGAAGCACAGGAAATTAAAAAAAAATAGATTTCAATCCTGCTACTTACAGTGTGTAAAAATGAGATAATTATTAAACTAGGTTTCAGTTTCTTCATTAAAATCAATGATATGGGTTTGCATGAAATATCAAGGATTCCTGACTGACTGATCTCAGGTTGCATTAATAAGACTCCTCAGGCTATACTGATGAAGTTGCATTCTGTTAGCAAAACCCTGAAAATCCAACACAACAAAGCTCCTTAGAGACCTGAGGTGTAATAGGAGAGCAGTAAAGAGAGCATGAGACCAATCAGGGCTGAGGGCAGGAGAGCAGGGACAGAACCCGGGTGGTCAGGCCTCTGTGGCTCCCCTCCAGCCTCTGCAGCTGACTTTCTTCTCTGCCTTAGATTTTCCATGAGAGGGATGCTTCCTTTGGGTTGCTTCCTGAAGACATTTCCTTAGCATTGTGCCTTCCTTTCAGTGCTCTTTGGAAAAGCCCAGCCTGCCTCATCTGTTCTCTCTGTGGTACTATGAAAGCCACATCATGGGAGAGGGGCCAGTGAGGGCCAGCTTCACCACCCTCTTGAGATTTGTTAATTTCTGTATTTTTTGTAACAGCCTTTCTGTCATGCATGATATCTTCTTGTGGTATTGATTTGCAATTCTCAGAGGATTAATGATGTTAGTATCTTTTCCAGTAACTGTTTGTTATGTTTATGTCATTTTTAGAGAAACATCTATTCAAGACCTTAGCTTGCCTGTTATTATGACTTTGTAACCACATTGTTGGAGTTCCTTAATTATCTATAAACATTTTCCCTTGTCACATTTCTCATTTGCAAATGTTGTCTTCTTCTCTGTAGATTGTCTTTTCATTCTCTTAATAGTTACCATTGCAAAAGCTTTTTACTTTGATGTAGTTCTACTTGTGTAATTCGGCTTATTTTCTTTTGTCTTCATTGCTAAGAAATCATTTGCAAGCTTCTGTGCTCTGCTGCTGGGAATGCATAATGGTAGAGCTACTCTAGAGAACAGTGTAGCAGTTCCTCAAAAGTTAAACCCAGCATCACCACAGGGCCCAGAGCTCTACCATGGAGTGCAGAGCCGGGAGACTTGAAATCAAGATCTTGAAGTGATCCCTGCACTTTTATATTTATTGTAGTATTCACAGCAGCTCAAATATGGAGACCATCTAAATGATGAATGAATAGAGAAAATATGTTATATACAACAGTACAGTATTCTGCCTTAAAAAGGAAATTCTGTCATGTATTTCAACACAGATTAACCTAGAGGACATTATGCCAACTCAAATAAACCAGCTGCAGAAGGACAAGTACTGCATGATTCCACTTACGTGAGATATTGAAAATAGTCAGATTCATACAGTGAATAGTTATTGTCAAGGGCAGAGAGGGGAAGAGGGAGGCCCTCTGCAGTGGCTGTGAAGTTTCACTTTGCCAAGAATAACTCCTAGCGGTCTGCAGGACAACACTGTGCCTAGAGTTGATGCAACTCTGCTGTGTACTTAAAAATGTGTTAACAAAGTAGACCTCAAGATAAATGCTTTTGATGCAAAAAAAGTGGGATGAAGAAACGAAGTCTGTCCCGCTACACTGATGGGCAGCTGGTTCTCATCATTAGAGAGGATTAGTGAGCATGTGGAATCCTATGTATCTGGCAGATGGGCTGTCATGGTGGAAGATCAAGTTTTAGGTCACTATGTAACTTTTTATGGAGAAAATACCCTTTATCAAAGGATATTGAGACTAGTGGGTTATGTTTTACTAATGCAAAGGACACAGAAAAGTAAAACACGTGGTTTAAAAAACCCACATGCCTTCCTGAAGTGAAATCTGAAATTCGTCCAAACCACGCACTTCTCCAGCAGGCGTGGATGGGCAAGCACAGTCTCCGCCTGGGAAGGGCAGTGGGGGCTGCCAGGTTACTGCCTCTGCGTGGACTTCACTCTTTCGGAGGTGCTTGGGCTTTGTGTTGCTTGGTCCTATTCGCAAATCTGTGAGGTTACCGCTGAGTCACCTGGAGAAGAGGAACCTGAAACTTGAAATGGTTTTCCTATTTATGGAAAGAAAACTATTTAGGTGGTGAGTACAGAGGCTTACGTTTTGTTTGTTTGTTGTGGCATATGGTGAATTTTACACAGAATAACTTTCACAGATATTATACATACAGTTCCATGAATTTTGACAAGCTTGTATAGGCACCCACCAACACCACAATCAGAAAATATACTCTGTAGAGCTGGGAAGAAAATCTGGGGGTGAAAGAAAGCAAGATCTGTTTTGGAAATAGAAATTTTGACGAGCAGTAACCTACTTTTTAGAAATTTTGACCAGAAATAACCTACTTTTTCAATGCAAAAGCTTATTTCTTTATGTATCTTGCAAATAAACATACTCCATTTGTTCCGCTTGATTTTATCTATAGAGGCCCATGATGACATTTTCTGAAGTCAGCAGGATAGATGATTAGTTCTCTTTTTTTGGCAGGAGGAGAACTAATTTCTATCTTTTTTCTACTGGGCCCTTCTTACTTTTTCCCAAAGATGATATCTCTGTCCTCTAGAAATATGCTACATAACAGTCATCTTTGTTTAGCTTCGAAATGTCAGTAAAGACATGCTGCCCATGTGGAGCCTAAAAGTGAGGATTTAGGGCAAGAACCAGGTGAATGAAAGAGCAAGCAATGAACCACGTCCTGTTTAGAAGAACGGAGACACTGACGACTTATGTTAGGGACACGGACTGCTCACTGGCCTTTGCCTGGCCACTCTGTGTTTGAAGTGAGCTGTTCCCTAAGTCAGAAGATAGCCTCAACATAATAAGAAGGAGGGACAAGGTCATATAGCGACTCGTTTTGGCAATGTTTGTCTTTTCAAACTACTCGCCTGTGTTAAATTCCTTACAGAACACAGGACAACAGGAAGGAGAGAGAAAGGTCAAATTTTAGAGTGTGCAATGGGTGTGTTTGAACTATTATGTAAATGAAATGAAACAGGGGAAGATTATCTAGGATGGTTAAATGTGTTTTTTTTAAAAAATTTTATTTAAAAGGAAAAAGAGAAAAAACAAAACAAAACAAAGCAGTGTAAGGGTACAAGTAATACAGAACTACCAAAAAAAAAAAAAAAAACAGTAAGAAATCACCAGTTAATAGATTACACATTATCATCTTAGAGATAGTTGCTCAAGTCACAAACGTTTTAAGCGACGTGAACTACCATCCCATCAAGGCAGGTTCATCACAGCAGTGAGAGGAAAAGCGAACAGATCATTTGCCCGGCTGCTCTGGTGGCCCGCAGAAAGCCAGCCATCTATGCTACTGTGTGTAAATGCAGATCTGGTCACAGTGTGTGTGGCCGCCACTCACAGAAAGTGATCTGTCCTTGTAGTTTCCAGACATGTATTATTTGTAATTCCAAACAACTCCTTGCCAAATGAAAAGGCAGGTTAATTTTGTGCTCTTAATATAATATTGTGAAGCAGTGTTCTTCAAAATATTGATTGCTAGAGAGCATTTGAGTCCATAGTAATCTCTTGATGCTGGAGTGATCACGGTCATAACAACAGCAAATATTATTGACCATTTTACCAGGCAGCAGGCTCTGTGCTAAGATTTCTGTGAACAGAAATGTAGAAATTTCTTCCAACAATTCTTTGAATTAGGTTGTATTTTGTAAATGAGTAAATTGAAGTGGTCCCTTAGAAACACTAAATTTCCATGTATGTAAGCTCTGAGGTAAGTGATAAAGATGTGAAATTAATAAACAGTTGTTTCATCATTTTTTCAAAAAAATACCAACTTATTTAAGATTTCAACATCTAGTTATTTTTCAGTTGCATACAATGTAGAAAATATAAACACGATTGCTTTCAACTTTTGTTCAGTAAGGTGATGGTGGTCAAAAATAATCATTTCAGATGGCAAAGAAATGTCCTGGTGTTCCATCTCCAGTACTGAAAAAAACTGGTGTAAAGAATTATTAAATTATAAAGATAGCTGCAGAGCTTATTCTAGCTATGACTTTTTTCAGACAAATCAAATTCCAGACTGCACTGTGACATTCACTTGGAGGAATATTTTTTGTTGTTGTTTTTATTTATTCTGTCATGTTCTTAAAGTTCATTTGTATTAGGGACTGTACACATTATTTTAGAAGGTTTCCTTTCTTTTTCTTTACTTTTGTTCTCTCTCTCTCTCTCTCTCTCTCTCTCTCTCTGTTTCTGGTGACTTTCTTAATTTGCACATGGGAGTAAAATGTGTGAAATTATGCATAGCAAAGCACACAAATGTAAATGAAAAGTAAATAGATACTTCTCAAGGAAAGACAGAAAATGTGTTCTGCTCTGTTGCACAAAGCTCTCTAGATATTATGCTGGTTTATTTCCTCATGAAAGAATGCTTGTAGTATATTTTTGTGTACACACATACACACACACACACACACACACACACACACACACACACACACACATATATATATAACTGTTCTTCACAGAGTCTTGTTTAATTTGTGTGAAGCTGCTGGCCTTGCCTTAATCAAGAACTCTCTTTGGGCTGGTATATTGATGCTTTTCCTGATCTTTTAATTCAAATAAGAAATCAAAATTCTTGTCAGGTACAGTAGAATGAAATGCCTTTCAAAGACAAGTACTTGGGAGATGGTAAGAAAAAATACTGATAACATTTTACTCCAAAACAAATACCCTTTAAAAGGTAGGCTTATTGCTGGATTTATTAATGAAACCAAGACCCTAGGATGTGTCTATACTCAGGACTGTGAGGACAGCTGTCTATACTCAGGACTGTGAGGCCATTGACATTCAGAGTATCTCTGGGTTTGAATTTCCTCTTTCATAAAGTGTAAAAGGGGCAATATTTATCATCTGTTGAGATCTCTTCCAATGCCAGTGTCTTAGTTACTTTTCTCTCATTGCTGAAACAAAATACCCAATACTCAAAGTTAAAGGAAGAAAGGTTTATTTAGTTCTCAGTTTGTAGAGGTTTCAGTCTGTAATTGGCTAGCTCCAAGGCAAGGTGGCCTGATAGGTTGCTGATAAAACAGAAATTTCAACATCAGCCTTTTGACTTTGAGTCAAATAAGTGAGATAATAAATTTAAAGTGCTTCTAAATTTATAGAATTATATAAGAAGACTTTGCATGTCATGGGTGTTTTCTATGTCAGTTTCAGTGATAATGGATTATAGGTTACCAAATGTGCAGCTGGTTGGATCACCAGAGGTACCATATGGACTATTGGTGCTGATTTCATTTAATTTGCTGTGTTAGTGGCAGAATATTATTTGTTAAATGAGTATTAACATCAGCAGAGTTTGCAAAATCGAAGTTTTAAAAGTCCAGACATGAGAAAATTCACGGTGGGTGTAACTGGGCCTGTGCCTTCCTTAGAATAAAGTATCAGGACGAAGCTGGATGCAGGTCCCCGATCTTCAGTGCTCTGCACTTAGAAAAGAATAAACTGACTGCAGCCTGGTGGTCTTCACACTCTCCCCCACAGCCTCTTCCCGAAGGGCCTCTCTTCACAGCGCACCAGGAGCATTGCCTTGGTGGGAAATCCTGACTTCCTCTCCCTCTGGTCACAGATGTGCCCCAAGAAAGCCTGCTTCTCCACACTGAGGAATTACTTCTGCCCCGCCTGAATCTTCAGGAGAGAATAATTGGTGGCCTTTGCCCATGCAGATCCTTGGATAGACAGGAACTGTTTCTGAAATGTCCTGTTAACAGAAGTCCTTTCCTGAGAAGCAGAGGGTGCCAGGTGCAGAATATTAAACCGGTCCCTGAGGAGCGAGTGGCCGCCCGTCTCCTTTCATCCCACTGGGGAATGTCTGCGTGTGGCCTCCAGGAGTCTCCCATTATCATAGCTCTCGCTTCCTCCCTTTCATCTCCAGGTTTTGTCTTTTATTCCCTTAAAGTAATGTCTTCTTCTACCCCAGTGAGAATAAATTATACCATTTCCTAAAACAGGCTTGTGTTTTCTATGAGAAAATTATGTTGACTAATGATCTATTACCACCGAGACGAAAGATGATACTGAAAAATGTTTTATTTGTTTCATTTGGTTTTCATTGAAAATACTGCGAGATTATTTTAAAAATATTAGCACACATTTTATTAGTGTCCTATTGTTTAATACGCATTTTATGGCATTGAGGGAATACTATTTACACATGGTGTTTTAACTGTGAAGAATTTCAAAGTCTTTTTGTCCTGGCATGCAGGTAAGTCCACGGAGACCCTAGAGGGGGAGTGGGGATGAAAAGGAAACAGGAGACTCAAAGAAAGGAGACTTCTTTTATTCAAGGAAGGAGTAGCAAATATACAGGGTATTGGGGGAGGAGGGAGTTGGGTTCTGAGACTTCAGCATGTAACTTAGCAACAGTGGCAAGATGGAGGGTCATAGGTGCATTCAAATTTTCAAATTTCCCATGTGTGAGCTCATAAGGTGGGCTGATTAGCATAATTCCTGAATAGACCAGGCCAAACAAGCTAGGCAAGGTGCTGCTTAACTACCAAACTTAACTCCTGGAGGGGGTTAAGGTGGTGCGGCCTGCAGATATAAGGTGGCAGCCAGTTACAGGGCCTCCCACAGCTTTTTCCACTGCCTTCTTTGCAAATAGACCAACCAGTCTTTGAAACAAGTGACCTTGTTTGTAGTAGAATTTACCAGTGTTTTGGGTCTATGTCACGTGTCAAGGAGGAAAATAGACCCCATTTTACAGTAGCCATTGGTTTCTAGTTTGCTTTTCAGACTTTCCTCCATCCAACCTGCGGATGTTTCTTAGTGACTTTGAGCCTGACTCAGCTCTTCAATTTTTTTTTTTTTTTTTTTTTTTTTACTATAGACATTAAGTTTCCATCCCTATTTTTACTATTCTCACTCAAGAAGGGGGAAGTCAAAGACTTTCTCGACAGTAACAACGAATTTCACTCAAGGGGGGAACTCAGAAAGCAGTGACTGAAGTAACAGTCTCCCCTAGCAGGGGTGCCTGGTGCTCAGCTGGAACCCCACCCTCCTAGCTCTGCTCCATGGAGAAGGGTAACTAACCTCTCTGTGGCTAGTTT